CATTCAGTTGGTCATCGTGGCCTGTAGATTGTGCTAAGGACATTCATCTTATAGGTCCGTTCTCTCCAAACCCTGCAGTACTATTTTCATTCTATTCAGACCCCCATCATTTCTCATCTTGTTTAGCACAGAAAATCTCTCTTTCTTCCATCTCTTCTCCCTTCTTCCTCGGGCAATGAGCTTTTAGCGTCACAAGTCTATGTGCCATCACGATCTGGCTTTAGGTGCTTCCATGACATTCTCTCTCCTTTTGAATAAATTCAGTGGCACTCAGGATCCTGGGTGTCTAAACATTTGCCCACTTTCCTACCTTATATCCTGTGGTTCCTGTTTCCCAATCAGGTGCACATTTGCAGCCCCTTCACCTACTCACCCAGTTCTCTAGAAGCTTTATACTTGCACTAGGCTCTGGGCTCCTGTCCATACCCTCCTCTCCCCTGAGTCCCCATCCTTCTGTGTCTTCAAGGTAACCCCAACTTGCCCCATTCTCTGAGGAGGTTTTCCTGAACAGACCCAATGCAACTACAGAAAAGTCTGTGAGAGCCAGAATTCAAAAGGACTGCCTTGTTTTGCTGGAACTCAAAAGTTTTCCTCCCTTGACAGGGTACAATCTTACCACTTCCACATCACTTGCTCATTTCAGTATTTCAGGAAAATACTTTCATTTTCCTTGGCAGGTTTCCACCCTACACTGGTTCCGGCTTTCACAGGTTTGCTGTATTTACCTACTTGTTTCTCCCCCGCTTTTGCATATTCCCTGATGTTAAAATCTATATCTTCTGCTTGTCTCCAAGGCCTGGCACGTGCTGGGTACTCCGCCCTTACACGGTGCAGTCAGCCGTATGCTGATTCTTGAGTTCTCTTATGACTACAGTGGAGTCAAAGTTCACAGGGCTGGATTTCATTTGCATTAAATTCATGGTGCTTGTAAGTCAGGTTTTCTGGGAAAAAATAGCCATCCATTTTTTATTGGATGTATTAATAGTAAAATTAATGCTGCAGTGATTGCCTTAAGGGAACACTGAGCTTTGCCTTCTAGGCATAAATGACTGACCCGCAGTCCCCAAAGTGTCTGAGAAGTCTTTTCCATAAGCTCTGCAAGTTCCCTTCTTCCTCCAGTGGTATCAGCCTCTGGCCGATTAATGCTACCTGAGCATGCCTTGGACCTGCAGAGTCTCCATATCTGTTTCTGAGAATCACAGCATAAGGAGAACTGGCTTTTGGAAATCTCCATTTGTTCCCTCCATTTCTTAAAGGTCCCCTCTCAGAGAGACTGGCCTGCAGGACCTGCACCACTTCAGGGAGAAGCCCCTGGCATCACCCAAGCAAGAAGTTATGTGGCCTTCATTCCCTGGGCCTGGCTTTTAAGCCTTTACTACCCATGCTTTCAGACTGGATACCTATCTTTCAAATTGAGTCTGCCTTAGATACACAGGCAATGGAAAGGAGAAATAGTCTCATAGGAGAAATGAACCTTTACTTAGACAGCCCTGCCTTCAAAACCCTTACCTTCTAAAAGGATATGTCCTTGCTTTTAAATGGGGGATGTGGGAGACCAATGCATTTCTTTTATTTACATAGAAAGCATCCCTTTGAGAAACCCATTTTTATACGCAACAGTCTTCTCTCTGAATAAATTGATTCTCTTTGTGTATTACAATTCCTAGTCTTGAGAGGAGAAGAAAAGCTGATTAGCATTATCTGCTGTAATAGTCTGTATTGTGTGTGTATGTGTGTGTGTGTGTGTATATATTACATAAAAATATATAAATAAAATATAAATAACAGTATAAATCTCTGCCATTAACTATAATATCTCCTGGACACAGCATCTTCTCCAGACACAAGAAATTCAATTCTTTGTCTTTTCTATTTATGTTGTGTTTTCCAGTTCTTTGTGTCTGTATGGCTGTCCTCATGTAGATGATAGTCTTTAGCCCTAAAAAGTGATAGAGAGGAAACAGTAACTATAGTGCTTCTGGGGGAAATAAGAGTTTAGAATCTATTCTAAAGATAGAGGGGGAAAGAAACATATATGACATATAATTAGACATAGAGTAACGTAAAGCATATATCTAGCTGACCTTAGCTGTTTACATAATGTTGAAGGAGTTTTAGAGATGACCATGACCAAAGTTAGTTAGTTAATAGTTATTATGAGGGAAAGGACTAGGTTTTATAAACAAGGAAAGCCCAGCTTATTAAGGAGAAACTTTAAAAATCTTTGTTACTCATCAACTGTGTTCACTATTAAATCTGTTTCCAGCGCTAAGCATAAGCCTGGCTTAATTTATATACTCAGTATGTGTACTTGGACTAGATCAATGATTGTTTGGGTATATTACTTTTGTAAGGATATCCCCTTATGCTCGATGCCTTTGAATTGTGGTGTTGAGAATATCCCACAGACTGCCAGAAGAACAAATAGATAGAGTCTTGGAGAGGGTGCACCCAGAGGGCTCCTTAAGGGCAAAGATGATGATGCTTAATCTCACAGAATTGGGGTATGTTGCTAGGAGAGGTTATTCCTTGGAGAGGGACATCATGCTTTGCAAGGAGGAGCAATAGTGAAGGAGAGGCAGACCCTCAACCAGGTGGGTTGACAGTCACTCCAGCAATGGGCTTGAGCGTATCAGGGATTGTGAGGATGGCACAGGACAGAACAGGGTTCAGATCTGTTGTACTCAACTTGATGGCACCTACCAACAACAACAACAAGAAAAATATTTCGGGGGAGTATTTGTAAATAATATTTATAACTTGTATACTCCAGTAATAGGAGTCATGAAATTTTAGAAAGTACTTTAAATCATTTCTAGAAATGTTCATCATCATTTTAAGTAAAATTACAAAATAGAATATGCAGCCCCAGCCCTCTGTGGGAGAAGGTCTGTAACCAGTTCATTGCTCTTGCTTCACTGGGCCAGTACAGAGCACAGTCATTAACCAATTGCCTCTAGTTGATTCTGACACTTGGCAGCTCCGTGTGTGTCAGAATAAGACAGCATGGGTTTCAATAGTTGATTTTTTTTCATAAGTAGATCACTAGCTTTTCTTATAAAATCCTTCTCATGTATTCACACCACTTACTTTTTTGGTAGCAACTAATTGTATTAACCATTTAACCTATTGGAATCCTTATATTGTATATGCTTAATGTGACTTAGTAGTAAGGAATTGTGCTGCCAATGAAGAGGTGCGCTGTTCGAGTCCTCTCTGTGGGAGAAAGACAATCTCCTCCTGTGTGACTTACTGCCTCTGAAAACCTGCTGGAGGGTCAGCTATGGGTCGGTTCCAACAGTTAGTACTGAATAGATGAGTAGGTGGATGGATAGATAGCTAGATAAATGACTGGATAGAAAGGTAAATAATTTTATCACTAAGGTTTGGTAAGTAATGCAGGATTACTTGAAAGAGTAAATAATGACTTTTCAAATGAACTAGATAGTAAATGTGTGCATCTCGACTTTGGCTGTACTAGTCACCGGGAATATTTTTGTCTTGTTTTGTTTAGCGCTGCTGTCTGGCCTTTACCCATACACATACCTTGTTATTTTCTAGGCATTCCTCAAGTGATAGTAATAGCCAGTATTGAAAGCCCCCAGCTTAGACTATTCCTAATGCACACGCTGCCCATGGGGCTCTTCTCATTTAACGACTGCACTGCAATTACTAGCATGTGTCTCTCCGTCACTCGACTGTACACTCCTTGAGCTCAGATACTGAAACCGTGTCTTCATGCTGAGATTGTCCTCCTTGTACCCTGCTCAGAATTTAGCATATAATGGGCAGTTACAAATGTTAAATGAAAAAATTAATTGAATAAATTGGTAGCTTCTTTCATTTAGAAACAATAAAGTTATGTATTATGGGGGAGGGGGAGGATTACACGAGAGAAGGAGACCAAAAATAAAAATGCTGCCACATAAAATTTATTTTGCTTTAGGGTGCAGACAGAGTTCTCTTTGAAGGCAAGAATGATGAGGCTTCACCTCACATACTTTGGGCATGTTGCTAGAAGGGATTATTCTTTGGAGAAGGACATGAGGCTGGAAAGAGTAGAGGGTCAGCAAAGGAGAGAAAGACCCTCAACCAGGTGCATTGACATGGTCACTGCTACAGTGGGTTCTTGTGGGTCAGAAAGTGTGAGGATGACTCAGGCTGGAACAGACTTCACATCTTTTGTTCATAGGGTCACTATGAGTCCTACTTGACTCGAAGGCACCTAAGAACAACAATAACCACCTACATTTTGGTACCTGTCTACGTTTCCAAACTAATTGCTTTTGTTTTCTTATTCATTCACTGACATCTTTCCAGATGTTATGAAATGACCATAACCACAGATACTGGATTGACTGGATTTTGTCAAGTGGCAACTTAAAATATTTTGTCCCGTTATTCCCATTTGTACATAGACCCCTTCAAATTTTCATTACTATCCGTGCATGAGGATAGTTAATTGATGTGATATCCTGTCCTACTGTCCCCCACTAGTGAGAGCCATAGGAAGTTCCACAGACACACAGGCCACTCTTCCAAGATATTTCTTCAACTTTAAAATCTATCTGTTCAGATCTGAAATAGTGACTCTGGAAAGATATTTAGAGACATGGAGTTCAGTCATCTTCATTCTGTAGTGAAGAAACTGAAGCCAGGTAAGCTTGGGGACTTGTTCAAGATCACGTAGCTCTTTAGAGACATAGATCCGAAACCTCGTGCTCTAACCCTTCAACTGCATCTCTGCATCGCACTCGTACCATTTCAGATTACAAGGGAATTCAAAGAGTAATCATTTCCCTTACCACTGATACCTGTTTAGGAAGAAAAACACCTAACCAAAGCACACAGGTTTCACAGAGCTTGTGGGAAGGAGGGGGATATATTGGAGAGAAAAGAGAGCAGAGGGAAGGAATTTTTAAATGAGACTTAAGAACTTATCAACCAAAGTACATTTATGGTAGCACCACGGTTCACTGTGAATCTGTCCCTGTTTTTAGGATTTTCCCGAGAGAATATCTCCTCCAGCAGATCCACCTGTATTCCCTTGCCGATCTGCAACAGGTAAGCACCCCAAAAGCCATTTCGGTTTTGTTTTCTTCCAGAAGAGAAGTCTCTTTGTTCATGTTGTTCTAGGTACCTGAATTTTCTTAGGTCGTTTTCACCACAAAGCCTGATATTCAGTTAAATTTTCTTCAGAGTGGAAAACAAATTGGTGTAAAAATAGGACAATAACATATGTGGTGAGCATTACATTGCTGTAAAATAACCCAGCTGCTGTGGAAAACTGTTCTGGCAATTCTTCAGCCAGTTAAACACGGGCTGCCACATGACTCAGCAAATCCACACCTATGTGTATGCTCAAGAGAATTGAAAACGCATGTCCGTGCAAAACACTGGACATAAACTTTCTGAAGGACATTATTCATAAAATGTCAAGAAGTGCAAACAAATCCAAATGCATATTAGCTGATGAATGGATCAATTGTATAGCCATACAGTGAAGTATCATTCAGCCTTAAAGAGAAATACTGGTCATAATACAACATGGATGAACCTTAGAAACATTATTCTGAGGAAAAGAAGTCAGTCACACATTGGATGGTTCTGTTCATAGGAAATAGCCCAAGCGGACACATTCATAAAGACAATGAGTGTATTGGTAGTTACTCGGACCCAAGCAGAGCTGGGGAATGAGAAATGACTGCTAATCACCATGAGGTTTCTTTTTAACTGTTCAGTTAAATACTATACAGGGTGAATTTTGTATATGTGAATTATATGAATAATCCATTCTTATTGTGAGTGAATTCTCATCATATGAAAAGAACTACCTAAAAGTCAGTGTATATATTAAACTATTTTTATTTATGCTCATTCCAAACATTTTAAAGTTTAGAAAAACATAAAAAAATCTTGTTATCATTTCAATAGTGTGTCTTTTTAATGATTTGCTAGCTTAGCAGCCAGGAGTAATAACGGTTTTGTCTCTTCAGTCCTATGTTCTGAACGTGTTAAGCTTTCTTTGGTTAGTCATTTCAATCAACAACTCACTCCCTAAGGAGTTGTTAGACACTAAATGAAAACATTGCTTCCCTCTTGAGATAGTTATTGATTCTTTCAAGTGACAGCCTTTAAAAAATCAGAGCATCTTAAACTATCATGATTCTGTTCTGTTCTTATTGTTTCATATTTGGTTGTTTTGCCAAGATAAGATGAGGTCCTCTACTAACCATGTTGACTTCAGTCCTTCCTTATTCAGTCATTCACTTCATTCCAAGTTCTTTTTCTTGCTGAAAAACTTATCAGTGAAGTTCTTTTCTTCCACCTATCTCACCCCACCCCAGAAGTAGGAAAGTTTTCTTTTAAAGGGCAGAAATCATTTAAGAGAAGTTTAAGGAATACTAACTTTTAATTTGCACTTGGGTGGCAAACTTGAATCTGTTTGCACATAGCTGTCCCACCTCTCTCAGGCCTCCCTTGATTACCTAGTCAAACTACAGTGGTCCAGGTCCGCCAGCGAGGGTGGGAAGGGGTAGATTTTTAATTCTGATTTTCAAATGGTGAACAGGGAAAAGAATTGTTAAAATCCCACTGTGCATTTATCTGTTTCCTACGACTCTTCCTGGTCATCTGTCTGAGGACACAGGCTGTCACTTGAGAAGTACCTTTAAAGGCCCCGATGTTCTTGCAAAGGTGGTTTAAAATAGAATGGGTGGGCTCCAAAGTGGGTTCTCTTTGAGGATGACTTTCAAAAACGAGTTTTGATATCAGATGAAGGGAGAGAATCAGAGTAATTCCATATTCATTTCAGGGTGTCAAAGTAGTTCCTCCATTTGGCATAATAAAACCTACCTTTTAAAGCTTTTCTGTACCCTGCTGTCTTTCCCCCCACTTTTCTTTTCTTTCTTTTTTTTTTTCTTGTAATAATCAAACCATACATTCCAGGCAGCTTACTTGAATCTGTGGCAGCTGTATTCTTGGTGGGCCAGGCCATTAGCCCCCCAGAGCCCCATAAGCAGCTTAATCAGTTTTCAGCCTTGGTAGTAAAGTGATAAAGGCAATCAACAGCTTATCAAACTCTCCATGGGCGGGGGCATCAAGAGCTCAATGCCTCCATTACTTAACTACTCCCTCCAACCTGCTTCTTTGTGCCTGGCTTTAAGAGCCCCAAACTTATCATATTTAGAGGAAGTTTAATTCAATTACTTTTTTCTGCCTGAGGTGGGTTAAATTGGATTTAGCTTTTGATCTGTCTACATCTTAGCTATCAGCACAAAAGGGTACAACCCACCCCATCTTCCTTCAGTGTCTGAGTCAATTTCAAGCATGTTTTCTGGATGTGATCTTGCAAACATATAAGGGATGTGAACAGAAGGAAAAAGACAGTAAGTTTAAAAAAAAATACACACATGCACACGCGCGCACACACAGACACACACACACACACACACACACACACACACACAAAATTAGTAATTTGCAAAGAAGCTTGTCAGTGGTACCAAAAGCCAGCTTTTCCTAACTGAGCCCCCCTGCCCCCTCCATTGTTGGCCTCTTCACCATTTTGACTCCTCCTGGCTGCACCCGTTTTCGTGTCATCTCCAGGGTGTTCTGAGTAAGTTCTCTATGCTTGATTTCTCTCCTCAATCCTGAAACAAGAGCTTTCTAGAAAAGCAGACCCATCATAAAAATGTAGCTATTGAAAAATGAATTTTCATTTACAGACTTTTCAGATAAAGGCAAGTGGATGAAGAGTTAAATATCCAGAAAACCAATGATACAAACGTCCTTCCAAATGGCACAGGCGCCTTTCCACAAATGTCTTAATTTTATTTTCCCCTTATATTAAAAAAAAAAAAACCAAAACAACAACAAAAAAAGCCAGCTGCCAAATGTAGACATTTTCCTCTCAAACAAAACAGGAAAGAACTTAATAAATGTGGTAAAGGGAATTTCTAAAGAAAGTATATATAATTTTAAAATACTGTAGTATACAACATATAAATTAGACTTTAAATCAACTTACCAGAGGGATTCTGGTACCAAAAAAAAGGTATATATTTATCCCTCTGGTTTCATTATTTGAAAGAACGGTCTCCAAAGTTTTAGCAGTTAGCTTCATTTCATCGATTTGACGGGAATGTCTAGGATTTGTTCTCATTTTATGCCTCCTTTCTTGGCCCTGCGAGTAGACGAGGAGGAGCACATGGCTTTCTCGTCCAGGTACGACTGCCTTCCTCCCTGTGAGCTGTGGGGCAGGCCATCCACTACTCACTCTTGCCTCTTACAGTGCTGACGAGAATGTTCCAGATTTTACTAGTGAGAATGCATTAGTATATATAAGTTTATGCTCCAGAGTTCTTAGTTCCTCTTAAGGTGCAAATCAGAAGCCTCGTTTAGTGTGTCATTCCTTGAGCCATGTAAGGGATAGGAGAATTCTTCTAAAGTTCCTTTTATTTGCAGAGAGAAAAGGTCAGATTTGACCTCTGAATGTTGGCAACCTGCTGTACTCTTGTGACAAAACCCAAAATGTAGATTAATGACGAACCCTTCTGGTGTTACTCACCTGGGGGTCATATGTAAGTTAAGCACTGAATGGTGCTATTTGTATATGATCCATGAGAAAGGGCACTGAATGGTCCCAAGGGTGAGGCTGTTGATTTGGGTTTCTCTCCCAACCCACAGCCCCTGCCTCTCACCACCTCTCACCCACCTCCCACACCCTTAAGTGGGATAATCTTGGGGAACTTATTTCCTTGTTATTCACCTTCCATGGGTCCTTCCTTTCCAAAGCAGACCCTACCTTTAATAAAGGCAGTTTAAATCCCAGTTAATATGCACTGTATGACCTAAGAAGAAGAAATTATTCTTATTTTGGCACAAACAAGTTGAAAATACAACATGATCTTTGAAGAGGAAGACTTCAAGAGATCTGTTTTAATGAGGAAAAATAGGTGGAAAAGCCTGTTGTTTGGAACACTTTCTAAAGAGATGTGAAGTGGGACGGATGCCAGAGGGGAGGACCCCTTAGCACTCAAGAGCCAGGCAAGGAGGAAGCAGAGGCTGCCCTACTCCCAGTCGCCTAGAACGCACCAGACTGTTTGTTTCACATTAAAGTGATAAACACTTCAGCTTGGCCATCAGCGTGACTTACAGGCAAGTGGAGTGTGCTGGATGGACGGATGGCTACATGTGCTGACCGACACGTTCGCTCGCTTTCTCTCCACCCCCTGAAAGAAAAGCAACCTAATAATTGAGGGTTCACCTCTAAACAAAAGAAAGTTAGAAATATCGATCTGTAGGCTAAGGCATAGCATTCTAAAACTAAATAAAAATCTCAACTTTTTAAATGTTAGAAGAGTGGAGAGCTGTTCAGTGTCACAGACTTCCTAACCACTTACCGAGCAGTCCTGAACCAATGTGCTAGCCCTGGGTCCTCAGGAAGTGTCATTGGCTCAACTTAAACATTTATCAGAATTAGTCCCTGGAGAAATCATGGCCCTGCCTTAAAGGTTTGCCAGCTGGTTTGCGTGCAACCACCAGAAGGCAATATGTGGAAGGCATTTGTGAGACCATTTTTTTTGCTGAAGTTATCTTCAAGGAAGATATGTGAGTTCTCTTGTTTGGCCCTGTTCCGACCAAGCAAATACTTCCTCAGACAATGTTACTGTCCATGGGCACTGTTCACAGAGCCATAAGACAAAGGCCAAGCCTAAGTGGGCACCCAACCCAGCTGCCCTTTAACCGAAGAAGCGGCAGGTGATGACCTCTGTTCACATGGAGCGTGACGTCTTTGAGTCCTCAGCCAACAGGAGCACAGCACCCCAGTGCCCACAACCAAGTCATCCGTCCTGAAGCTCAGGAGCCCCAGGAACTTGTATTCATAGCCCCTCAGCCCCCCTGATCTCCAAGCCATTGTCCACCCCACCATTAGTGAGCAGGGCAACTAATTAGGAGCATTCAGATTTAACAAGTAGACTAACCAAGCGTGACAGCACGCCTGCGCTGGGCCACTGGCTGGGGCCTGCGTCTGCCACAGTCGTCACTGTCTTCAGAAAACC